GGAAGTTAAAAATATTAAAAACTTACTTTCTGGCTTGTGAATGTGATTTCTCATATCACCACACTTTCCTGGTGATTATTTCTTATTAATCAGGGGTTCTATTGATCTGATCAGCCCCTTCTAAGTATACAGTGCTAACAGATGACTAATTTTGGCTCTTGGATATTTTTCTTTGGTAACAATCTAATTATTATTATGAGCAGTCCATGCCATTGCAGAGCCACACATTAATCTCTCAGTGTGCTGATGGGAAAACCATCAGTACTGGCTTTCCCCAGGCACTCTTTCTCCCTGACTTTCTCCAGAAGGAGAGAGTAAGCTAAATGAATGGGTGAAACTTGCTCTAATGCAGCCAGGGTTCTGTCTGCTTAACAACCCTAAGATAAGATTGCTGCATGGATGATTGCTGTGCGACCTCTTGGGCACGACTACAGAAGAATAATTTGCACATAAGAGCTATTGATCCAAAATGTTATTTGTTGGAGGGCAACCCATTCCTATTAATTTTGCCCCACTGCTCCTTGCTGGCCTCTTTCTGGACAGTCATGTACATGTTGCACAGGGGGTGAGGGGGAAAAAAGATTCAGGGTGTGCTACATGGGGCCATCACCCCACAACCACCCCTGTGTACAACAACTGGCCTTCTGACTGTTTCTGGCCTACTCTAAACTCCTGGGGAGGATCGTGGGAGTCTTACATGAAAGCAAACAAATGAAAACCTCCTGTCATTCAGAAAATTTTCATAAAGGAAAGTCTTTAGGGAGGAGTCATTCCAGGCTAGCCTTATCTCTAATATGTGTGCTGTATGTGAGCAAGACTTTCTGTCCACATCATAGGAAGCATTCAGTCAAGTTATCTTGTTACCTGCCTTGCTCAGTCCAGAGCTGTTTGTGTGAACTAAGCCTGAGCAATTTCTCTGGGGGAAAGCAAATGGAGATGGCATTCAGCAGAGCCACAGCCAGTGCTCATGTGTCCCAACTGAAAGCCAAGGTCACCTGCTTTGCTTTGGGATTAAATGGTGGGTTTTAGTATTGGGTGCTTGGCATAGGAACAATCTGAAGGCTGCTTCTCATGAAATAGCCACCCTAGGAAGACCACTTGGCATTGGATCTGTCCTCAGGTAAAATACTCACTACACATACCCCAGGTAGCATTTATTATAACAATGAAAAGTGAGTATCAGTGGCTAGTTTGCATGTGCATGAACAGCTTGCCATGTGCAACAGTCAGCACAGAGATGCAACTGCAAGCAGCCTTCAAACACCACTTATTTTGTGTGAAGTGAACTATAAGGTAGGAAAAAAACCTACAAAGGTATATACCATCCCAGCAGAGGTGCTATGGTCCAGATGGATGGCTTTATACGCTTTATATGTCAGTACTTGTTATGTGGGACAAGAAGAGTTACATCAGAAACAGGAGCTCCCCCCCTCCCCTTCAACATGCCAAACCTATTGTTTGCAGATGAGTTTTTGCTTCTTATTACAGATGAGATACATCCTTACATACCCATGCAGTTCTCCAAAGAGGAATCAGTGCCTATCCGGACACCATCGATGGCAATCTCTCCTGAATGTCCATTGCTTATAGTGCCCTCGAATACAATCTAGGAGTGAATATAGACAGAAGAATAAATCCACAAACAGCTCTTGCATATTTCAAAGAAAGGGATTAAAATGTATCAGATTCTCTTAGTGCTTAGAAGTTTCCAACTGACAAAAAACGTAGTAGTTCAAGAGAATCCTTGAAATGTGTTCATTATCACCAACTCCAAAAAAGTAAAATTGCTGGTTTTTCACTTTAACAGCTACCTGGAGGGGGAAATAAATGTTGGCTGCCCACCATTCCTAAGATACACTCCCAATTTGACCAAGCCAGGGGCTCAACATTCTTCAGCTTCTGCTAATCCATTCCAGCTCTCCTCATCTTTCTCCAGCTCTTGACACCCTACAGAAACTTAGTGCATCATGCAATTAAATTTTACATTATTTCTCTGATAAGGCACAGCCCAGTGCAAAAAATCACAGCCTTCCAGAGGTTGGGAAAAACCTATACATTAGTTCTATATTGGTCCTATACTTGTTTCTGTAGTTTTAACAATTTCATATAATGTATTATTTATTCATTCATTCTTTAATATCTGCAAACTGCCTAGAGTTCAGTAAGATTGAGGCAGTGGATAAATGGCATAAAACAAATGAACAAACAAACAGACAAACTCCACTTGTTGATTGGGAATTACAGAGCTCAAATATAAGCCTCAAATGTATACCAGGTGGGCGAAAGCCAGAGAATATAAATTTGTTTTCACCGTGGTTCATCATCTTGGTTCTACTCTTAGCTCCAGCTTGTTGAATCTTCCAAGAAAATAGCACAGAACTGGGAGTGTGATGAGATGAAATCTACGCATATTTTCCATTCTGTTTGTGCAGTAATAAGACTCATGGTTAAAACATCAATCAGGGCAGCTTGCTTTGAGGTCTTGTTCCCTAGCCTTGGCTATTCTTTTCCAGAGATGCAGAAAATTAGGCTGAAGGCTAATATGGGGAACTTGGAGAGCTAATGTGGTTCTCTATGTTCCCCATCACCAGAGGGACCCTAGCAAAGAAGCTGGAACTCCAAATAGCCAAAAAAAACCCAAGTTGCTTGCCTGGACTCTGGACCATATCAAGTACTGTATTCTCACTGACTATGAGTGAGTGGTTTGAAACCCATGCTAAATTTTTGTACAAGAAAATGCAAACGAAAGATAGAAAGCTGGGTGACCCTGGACCAGTCACTCTCTCTCAGCCCTAGGAAGCAGATGAGGGCAAACCCCAAAAACCCTTGCCAAAAAACTGCAGGGACTTGTCTAGGCAGTTGCCAAGGACCAGAACCTTACTTGAAGGCACCCCTCTATCTATCTATCTATCTATCTATCTATCTATCTATCTATCTATCTATCTATCTATCTATCTATTCCAGAGGCATCTGCAGGGGGCTGACAAAAAAGCCAGGATATTGGCCATGAATTCATGCTGCATGTCAAAAAAGAGCAGGGCCTTGATCACATGTTTTGGCTGCCATATTGACTTTTTTGACCCTTTTCTGTGGACATCCCTGGCCTATTCAGAATTTATACACAGCTGCCCTCTGTTGCTTAAAGTATCTGAAAACACTTGGTCCACTTTGGAGCTCATGTCATAATCACTCCCTTCCCCAAAAAGTAGGTATGTAATTTCTTTCCTTTTTCCCCCAGTGTAGACTTCAGGCTCTTAAATAATAATAGCAACAACAATCTAGGCAATTAGTTCTCTTAAGTTCTCTGCTTGCCTCCAAGATGTGCTCACGCTTATTTCTTACATGTTTGCTTGACAAACTGCATGATCATCATCCAAGAGAAGCCAGGAGAGGAAAAAACACTTAGAAAGGATAGAACTACCTTTGGGCAGTTTGCAATGCGGGTTGCAAACATCCCGATGACCGTAAAAGGCAGCAAAGACATACAAAAACCCGAACTCTTTGTTGCCTTCTGATGGTGATCTGGATTTTTGCAGCCCATATCTAGCAAAGGAGAGACTTTAAGAATATAAACAGCAACAAAATGAACAGAGAGCTAAGCTACATATAAAACAAGCAAAATCCAAGCAGCAAATACACTGTTGTTCAGTTACTATAGCAACATGGAGAACACAATGAAAGAGGAAAAGCCCTTTTGAACAATGTTTTTTAATGATAAATTAAACGCGGTCTCTTGAAATCTTGGAGATGAGTGTGGCCTCACTCCATCTAAATCTCAATCCACACCTTAACAAGCTCACCTGATATTCTGTGTCATAACTAGGCAGAAGGATCCGGCCTTCTCTCCACTCATCCCCTTGGTCTTCCCTGATGATCCACAGTGGTTTGTTCTCATGCGCTGCCTCCCGCCGCACCTGCAGCATAGTCCCACTCCCTCCAGAGAGCTGGTACCAAAACATCAGGCACACAGCACTCCTGGGCGAGAAGACAGTGGGACTTATCAGCCGGGCATGCTGTCCTCCTCTTCTTGCACTGCTCTGCAACCTCAAATAACTCTTGCCATCTGCTGAAGAAGATTAATCCTAATTAGAATTTGCAAGAGATATGGGAATGTATGGTTATTAGCTCTAGCTAATGAGAAATTCAACCATGAACAGCAACAAGGTACATGGTTCATAATTTCAGCATGATGCAGGAAAAGAGGTCACTTGTGTCCTGTCCTGTTCCACACTGCTATGACATTAGGAGCAAAGTTAACATTAAATGTCAGCTGAAGGAAGTATGCATTTTAAAGAAAGCATTGGGCACCCTCCAAAAATGATCTGCGTTCAGACTATTAGAAGAACAAACTGTTTCCACAGGAATCTGTTCACTCATTAACATCTCTCAGAAAAATTAGTTTTGTATCCTACGCCACCTGATTATTCATTTCTTAATGATAGCATCCAGATTTGGGCATTTCTTCATTTAGGAGCTTTGTCTTGGCTCTTAACCTTTTGCAGATTTTTAAGACCATCTCATTTCAAAAGATATTATTTATTTCTAAAAAGGAGAATCATGTTGATTTGCATCCACACACCCAATATCTCAGTCTATATTAAGCTGCCAGGTATTTTTTGATCTTGGCAGTACAAAAATACTTGTAACAACAACAAAAAAAGTTTAGTGTCTCTGAAAGTTTTAGTTTTTCTTGTGTATCATTTACTTACATTTGCTTTTGTTTTTATCTATCTCTAACCCTAACATAATATTCAGTATTCTCTCAATGCCACATTGAAAGTTTTCTGCTAAAAAGTGGTCTACCAATTCAATTCAATTCAATTCAAACCTTTATTGGCACTGGTCTACCAATTAATGAAATTATTATGCAGAAGAGGTAACAGACAATAATATAACCATTAAAAAAAGCAAGCACAATTCCTCCCAACCTACCAATGTATGAGCAGGACTGATACGATGCAAAACAGCTTTACTGACTTCTTGTTTGAGGACAAGGCTGCTACAAAGCCTTCTTGCTTATTCCTCCCAATCCCGCAAGGTTGTTTACACTTTTGCTGAATCACAAGCATATTTTCATGGGATTTACACATTGGGAAAACTTCATCTGGTAAACATCTGTTTCTCATATGCAAATCTTTAAAAAGATATGCTATCAATCTTCTACAAAGGAAGTCTGAACATGTGCATAGGCCTAAGGCAGTTGATATATTTGTAGAATATTGATTATGGACTATACGTCAAAGACCGAATCCCATGCATATTCCCTCAGGAAAATGCCCCAACGTGTACAACAGGTTATATTGGTAAGGCAGAAAGGCAACCTGTAGCACTGCAGATGCTGCTGAACTCACTCCAAGTATCCCTAAGAAACACTGCCAACAGTAAGAAATGATGGGAGTTGTAGTGCAACAACATCTGAGGGGCCACAGATTGCCTATCCCATGTAAATATGCATGTGAGTGGACTGTGGAAAAGCAACAGAGCTTATTTTTAGAAAATACTAGACAGAAAACATCAGGTAGCTATTTAGAACGCACCGATCAGAGAGACAATGTCTGAAAAAAGATAGCTCTGTACCTGAGGATTAAGCCAAAGAAAATAATATGGGAGCTGTGCAGCCCATCAGATTTGAAACCAAAAAAGTACCTCAGAGCATGTGGGGCATGAATATAACTCTTCTTTCTGCAACTCCTTCAATCAAATGAGTTGCACATCTATACTAAACTATATACAAACCACCGTTAGGAAGACTAGTCTCAAGAAGAGAGACATCCACTGGATGGATAGAAGGATAGGACATTACCCTGGCTGAGACAGAGAAGTAAGGTGGCTGTCTATTTCATGAACAACCACAGACACAAAAACCTCCTGATCAAGACACTTGAAAAGCTTAAGACAAAAGATTGACATAATTAAGACAGGTTAAAGTGCTATAATTGGCAGGGAAAATAGACTCTGTAATCATGACATTATCAGTCTCTGTGTGTGTGGTTGTGTGTGTACATTCATATTTACTTTGTCTTCTATTTGCTGATCTGTTTTTAAGTCATAAGCTAGACACTCATGATCACCACCTTCCCACCCACTATGCTAACATTACACCTTGGGGAAAGAGGTATTTTTTCCTGTCCCCCCCCGTGCCCTCCACGCCCCCCCCCCCACTTTCCTGTCCACTGTAATAAGCAGTAAATACTTTGCAATCAGGACTAGCAGACAATTTAGTTGATGGTTCTGCTCCTGCTTCCTCCTCCTCTTTATATTTGCAAAAATTAATCCTCAACTACAGATAGTAAGATGAAGCTGCTGTTGGGGATCTAAGCAAAATGATTCCAACACGGTAACAGATGGCGAGAGCAAAGGTGACTAATTTGAGTTGAAAGAAAAAATTGGTCTCTCAAGGCCTTTCCCCATTTTTACCTACCTAACCAGAGCAGAAACATGCCCTAGCCACATTTTTTTCTTCCAAGCCCACATGACATTACTTCCATCTTGTTCCCAGACCTTGAGTATGACAAGCTTAAGATGCCCATAGCTATACCAGTACTAAAAAACCAAAAAAAACCCCCAAAAAGTACTTTCCCCCTTATTCTGTTTCCAAGGTTAGCATCAAGACACACAAAATCTATTAGGCTTTGCTACCCATTATTTTGAAGGGAAGTCAGGAAATACAGTGACTTAGGTGAAGCAGGATAAGGATCAGTAATGAGGTCTGCAAATTTGACTCTGGTATCATTTTCGGTCAACTCAAGGATGGGTGGACTGCATTTCAACTCAGTTGTGGGAAAAGACCCTCAAGTAACATCCTGGATGTTAGGAATGTGTGTGTTATGTGTAAGTCTACCATTGTTTTCTCCGAAAACTCTCCCACCTCCTCAGTAGGCAGAAATTAGAGTAATGATTAGCTTATTTATACATTTGGCTGCTTTTCTCTGAGGCAGATCCTCAACCTTCTTACCCCAATGCCATATTAATAAAAGTGGGCTATTTGGGGATTTTAGTTTTAAAATAATGGTTAGAGTGGGGAGAGAAAAAGAAATCTATGTTGGTTTGCTGATGTTTTGGAGTGAGAGCAAGCTCTTACATTATCAAATGCAAACAGTCTGGTAACAATGCAAACCCTAAAACAAAATTAATGGAAGAGAATAACTTCCTCCACAGGCAGGAGAAAAAGAACATCGTTTTACACTATAAATAGAACCCACATAGCAGTCACTGGAATTCTTTCATAATGTAGCTTTTCTACAATAAACCTACTTATCTGAGCTCCTTGGACATCTAGTCTTGAAATTTTTACTTTGCTGTTGAGGGAACCCTAACAGTTATTGTGTATGAACGCAGTATCCTCCTGTGTCGTGCTAATGTTGATCTCAGGATCTGTTTAAGAAACTGAAAATGCTATTTGTGTTTATTTTGTTGCTACTTTATATAGAAAGAGTGTTTTATTTATTTATGTAATCAATGTATATAGCCGCCACTCACCACACAATTCAGGGCAATGTACATAATTAATAAACTATAATACATTTAATTAAAACATATAATAAAAGACATAAAAACATAAATCAAGCCAGAAACATACTGTATAATATATATATAAAGTGCCAGGAAAAAAACCCTCATCCAATAGTCATTCCACTCCCAAGCCCAACACTGAGGAAAAAAACAGGTCTTTGGTACCTTTCAAAAAAAAAAAAAAAGACAGGGTCAGGGCCAGCTGGATTTCAAGGAGGATGCTATTACAAAGGCAGGAGCAGGAACAGAGAAGGCATGTCTCTTAACGCCTGCCAGATGACATTGCCCAAGTGGTGGGACCTGGAGCATGCCAAACCTGTCAGAACTTGCAGGATGGGCAGAAATAATCAGAATAGATGGTCCTACAAGTATCCTGGCCCTGTGCTGTTTTACTGATAAGCTGGTAATACATTTATTTAAATGTTGGTATTATTAGCAGAGTAGTAGTAGCAGTGGATGGTAGATGTTTCTTTCGTTTTGTTGCTGTAATGTTAATGAATGCTATTCATGCGACACCAGCTCCCATTTTGCAGCTTACAAAATATAATTTTTGAAAACATTTAAAGAAATCCCCTATCATAGCAACATATATGTTAGTGTATCTGGGAGGTGTTAATTATTAGCTAATTGAAGAATATTGATGAGAAGATTGTCCTATATATTCAATGCAGCACTTCTGAATAAGAACACAGTTCTCTGTTCTATTGGCTACCCAAAATATTTTTTTCAATTTCTTTTAATCAACTCTCTTTCACCAGTCCTTCTGCAAGTTGGCTGGTCAGTAGTAATCAGCATGATCTACTACTCTTACTATTATGGCCTTGAGATGAAAGAAGAGAGAGAGAGCATATGCAAGCTAACTCATACTGAATTCTCATTATTTTCTTTGGACAGAGCTTTGTTGTTGTTGTTCAGTCGTTAAGTCGTGTCCAACTCTTCGTGACCCCATGAACCATAT